GAGATAGAGATGTCTGAGTGTAGGTATTCGAGTTATGGAGTGTAAAAATATACAGAAATAGCTTCTAGGGACTCACTGAGTATTTCGAGTAATAGAGGGTTAAATTTCGAGTAACGGAGGTTTTACGGCTTGTAGGGAAGGGGATGAAATATTTCTTCGAGTTGGAGAGGTTTTCGACTTATCGAGGTTCGACTTACAGAACCTCTGTAATGTATTTGGTGATTATCAGTGGATAGGTTTATTTTCTCAGCCATCATGTTGAACTTATAATAAAATATACTAGATTATATAAAAAAAGTGTCTTAATCTGCTGGACTTTGTATAGACCAAAAATATCTTTATTTCAATACAATGAAATTAACCACTAATTTCTAAAATATAAATATAACTAAATGTTAGTGAATATCTGGAGTAGTGAATATCTGGAATATATGTAGGTATAAAAAAGCATGTAAGCTTTGCGTACAAAAATATACCATAACGAAACTATTATAATAGAGTATAATAAATATCAGTACACTGTGTTTGTAGATTGCCTAGATTGCCTTTTGTGACAATACGTCCGTTAGGATATCAAGGTCAGTGTTTGCTCAAAGGTGCTATGTTTAATATACCAATTTTTAATAACAATATTGTGACATCTCTACCAAGGTCCTATGAAGAGGCTTATATGATACAAATTCACTTATGAAGGCGTTTGAAATACAATCATGATTACATGATCGATACCATACGCCCCGAAAAAATCATGGAAGCTTTGCAATTTTTAGTGAATACCCCTCTGTATCGTGCGCACAATATACTTGTACATATTAATGAGAACTGGATTTCAGAATTAAATAACCAAGAAGAAGTTCCGTTTGTTGCATCTGCAGAGGATTCCCGATCGGTTCAATCTTTTCACGCGGAAAAAATTTCTCATGATAATTCTCAGGTAATAATATTACCACGCCCCTTTTACCTTCAGAGCTAAATCTAGGCGGTCGAGAAACTCTTTTGGACAATATTTCTGTAGAAAACTTAGACTACAACCAGTTAGTTATAACGCCAGGTGAAGGACAAAGACCAATTGTTATAATTCAAGATATAGCAAGATAATACGTCGCCATTTTGACAGAAGAGCGTGTACCATTCCAAATTTGTTCTATGATTAAAAAAAATTATAACTGCTACAAATTAAGAATAGTTCATCCATTTGCCTTAGAAAGTTTTCAGCTCGCAACCGAGTTATATTTCTACAGATGATTCGGTCAGCCACTTAGAAAGTTATTTGGGTTATCAAAAGCATAACCACAGTCGGTTTTGTACTAGGGACTAGATCTACTTCTGCAGAAGGTCTATTAATCACAGGAAATTTTATTCCTAATAACAAGTTTTCTGAATCAGATCCTGTATTTGGGGAACTAAGGGAATTGAACACAAGTAAAGCTCTGAGAACCAGTTTAATTTTTATGATTTCTCGAACATCAGGATCTAAATTTTATTCCATAATGTTCAGAGTCTTCACGCTCACATTAATGATATAAAAAGCGTCTGTTTGATGCTATCTTCAGATATAATATTTTATGTTTTGTAGAAACTTGAAGTTATCCTTGCGAAAGTTTTAGTATACCAGGATTTACTCCAATTAACGAGCTGAGGATAGATAGCACGGAAACATGCAACAAAAATAAACGAGGCATTATAATATATGCAAATCATAGAACTAGCAATACTAAGCTCTATAGAATCAAAAGCTTTAAAGAAAATTTATTCAGGCCGCAAAGTTTTAGAAGCGGTTTTGGTATCATGACAGTATTTGTGTCTCTATTTCGAAATCAAGTTTTCAGACTTAGTGTAATAGTTCTTGATTTTTTTCCAAATATAATCGAATAAGAATGGTATAGCAATTTTGACAGTAGTTTTTAAAACAATTTTTAGAATAATATGTAAATAATCTTATTAAGAAAATTAAAATTATATGTATAATTTGTTTTTATATAAGACAGTATTGTATAAATATATGATAGAAATTAAATAGTATAAGGAGAAAAGAAATATAATTTGGATATATGTATAAGAATCTCTATAAAAATTTATGTTTAATATTGTATTATATACAAATTAATATAATAATATAATTTTTAAAGTTGTTAATATTTATTTTTTTTAAGCTAAATATGTATAATAATATCAATTTAATAAATAAAAAATGTTAATAATTGTTCAAAAACGATTTCTTTTCATACTCCTCAATACATTTATAAGCGTATACAAAAAAAAAACAAGAACGATTTCGCATAATTTGAGTAAATTTAGCTTACAAATTGCTCTAATTAATTTCAATGTGAATGTAAATAACTGAGGCAACAGCTCCTACTTCTAATTATTAAAACATATAAAGAAATCTCAAAATGTTCGAATAAAATTTGCCATCTCTTTAAGTTAGCCGCCCTAGGCCTACTCACCCTGCTGATAAATCCGCCGCTATAGGTAGTACAAAGAACCGTTATACTGCTGACAAAGATGTAGTAACAATACTAAATGGTACCAAGAACGAATACCAGATATGTGTCACCAACTACCAGCATTTTACAATGAGAGCAATGCAGTATTTCCTGGTAACAATACTATCATACTTCATTGTAGTATTTTAAGAAACACAGCTAAAAAAGATAACGAACTTAGATAAAAGCCTTTACAAGTCGTGTCAAGTGTTCTTTTTCTTATACTCTTGCTACATCTTTCTACAGAGTTTAATAATTCACCTAACGGTTGTTTGTATCACCTAAACCTAATCGGGTTAGACATAGGGTTATATATATATTAATGATCACGATGAACAGACGAGTTGTAACTTGAGTAAATTGAGATATCTTTATAAAACTTGATACACATGTTTCTTGGTGCCGTAAACAAAACTTCATTGATCAAAAACAAATAAATTGCCGTAACTAAGCTACACAATAAGATACAAGACTGTTATTTGGTATCACGGATCACATTAGGGAAGGGCATCTGCAGTTTAAATTTTGATTATGATAAGGAGACGAGTTTAAATTCGAGTGGCTGTCTGTCCGTTTGTCTGTGGAAGCTGTAATTGAATAAAAAGATATCCTAATGAAATTGAACCACTTCTAAGCCCACAATACGCTATTAATTAAAAACCTATCAAATGCCATAACTAAGCAATAAATTAGGTTTAAAATTGTAATTTGCCACAGGCTATCGCTAAAAATTTTGAAAGAGTGGATGTGCCCTCGCCCTCTAATAAATTTAATGTACATATCTCCTAAATCACTTACGCTACAATAAAAAATTTGCTTAGAACAAATTCTATAAAATCTGCCCTCTCCCCATATAACGGTTTTGTTAAAAACTACTAAAAGCACAATAAATCAATAAGCAGCTGCACCACCAAGAGCGCGTCATAAGAGCCGTTTAAAAATCGTCAAAATCGGACTATAACTGTTCAAGCCCCCACATACCGAATATGACTTTCTGTCGAAAATATCTATGAGATATATTTCTGAAATTCGGGGAAAATATTTCTCTGATAATAATATACCCTTATGTCCAGGAGAAAAGTACTTATTTATTCATCAGTATCTATTCAATCAAAGTGATCTCCCTAGGATATAATACACTTGTGCCAACGCTTTTTCCAATTCTCGAAGCACCTCTGAAATGTTCTTATCGCTATGACTCTTTCTTCGATTCTGACTTGATCTCATTAATTGTAGCAAAACGCTTTCATTTTATTGGGTCTTCAGCTTTTGGAATAGGAAACAGTCGCAGGGAGCCAAATCTGGTGAATACGGTATTTCGGTTTTTTTTTGGCCAAAAATAACTCGAATGAGCATTGATGTGAGAGCTGTTGCCTAATCGTGAAGCCACGATTTGTTTTTCCACAATTTCGATCGTTTGAGCCGTATCGCTTCAATCAAACGTTGTATAACTTCCTGTAGTATTCCTTATTAACTGTACGACCTTTTGGCAGGAACTCATGATGCACCACACCATTGTAATCAAAGAACACTGAGCAAAACCCAACATTTGATCGAACTTGGCGTGCCTTTTTCGGTCTATTGCTAATCTGACAGATTCCATTGGGATGATTGTGATTGGGCCTTTGTTTCGATGTCTTAACCATATACCCACGTTTCGCACCAGTTATGCCGTTTGAGCAAACCCGGATCGTTGTTGACGTCATTCAACAACTCCTGAGCGATACTAACGCGACGTTGCTTTTGCTCAAAATTGAGAAAAATTTATGAAAAATTGAAGAGCACACAAAAACGTGAATAACCTTTTTGTTGTCAAAAACAAACTATTAATCGAAATTGGCTCATAATTATAACAAAAACAAAGTATCGATAATCGAATGTACACAGCCAAATCAAAATTCACCTGGGAGTTATTTTAATGAAATTGAGAGAGTATATATATTTATAAAATTGCTTATAAACCTCATATCCCTAATATATAATGAATTTCGATCTATTGGCTGACGTTTTTCACATCAACTTAATATATTAAACTAAGCCTCTTTGGTTGAGTTTATATAACAAATGTGTGTATATAATATTATATATTATTGACGATTTAATTTTAATTTTTACTGACGAGAGGGAAAATATAGTAAAACAACTAAGTGAGTCTATGACCTTCTAAATAAGTTAATATGATACCAATTTTTTTTTTTAATCCATTCACGATTTCGTCGACCAATGAAGTTGAACCCTTTTGCTAAGTTTTTCAATATTGTCAATACCTGTAGGTATTTACCCGACTTTGATCCTTGCAAGTTGAAAGAGTATAAAATGTTCGGTTGCACACGAACTTAGGTCTTCTTTACTTCTTTAAAATAAAGTTTTTCCAATACCTGGATGTATATCCCCGGCTTTGATCCTTGCAATTTACGAGAGTATAAATTTGGATACTTGTTTATAATGATAATAAAATTCATTAACTATAATTCTGTACATAGGTATGTCACATTAAAGTTGTATCATACACACCTTGTTCGTGCGAAGTAGCGACTGCTTCCAATCCTACAGATTTTCTTTCACATGTCTCGTGAAATGTATCATCGAAGAGCTCTCCTTCTATTTCGCTCTTTAGTGTAAATGCAAAACCCTCTTTTACATCATCATTTGGTTCACAATTACTTGTACTTTCACATACTGTGGTTCCGTCTTCCTTGTTAGCCAAATTATTATGCGATTCTTTCTGTGATATGGGTTGTGAAATATAATTTATGCTATTTGCAGGATCACAAACATTTCCGTTTTTCATTGCAGATGTGAAAATTTCTTTTGCATCATCAACTGGTTCAGAATGATATTTAGTTACATATACTGTGTTTACGTCTTCCTTGTTTGCCAAAATGTTACTCAATTCTTTTTGTGATATGGGTTGTAAAATATCAGATATGCTTTCATTAGGCTCACATTCATTTCCGCTTTTCATTGCAGATGAGAAAACTTCTTTTGCATCATTAATTGGTTCAGAACGATGTTTAATTTCATATACTGTGGTTACTTTTTCCTTGTTAGCCAAAATCTTAATCAATTCTCCCTGTGATATGGGTTGTGAAATATCAGATAAGCTTACAATAGGCTCACATTCATTTCCGTTTTTCATTGCAGAAGTGAAAGTTTCTTTTGCATCAGCAATTGGTTCAATATGGTTTTTAGTTTCATATAGTGTTACGTCTTTCTTGTTACGCAAAATATTATGCGATTCTCTTTGTGATATGGGTTGTGAAATATCAGATAAACTTACAATAGTTTTACATTCATTTCCGTTTTTCATTGCAGACATGAAAGCTTCTTTTGCATCATTAATTGATTCAGAACGATGTTTAGTTTCATATATTGTGGTTACGTCTTCCTTGTTAGCCAAAATGTTACTCAATTCTCTATGTGATATGGGTTGTGAAATATCAGATATGCTTTCAATAGGCTCACATTCATTTCCGTTTTTCATTGTAGATGTGAAAATTTCTTTTGCATCACCAACTGGTTCAGAATGATGTTTAGTTTCATATACTGTTCTTACGTCTTCCTTGTTAGCCAAAATGTTGCTCAATTCTCTATGTGATATGGGTTGTGAAATATCAGATATGCTTTCATTAGGCTCACATTCATTCCGTTTTATTGCAGATGAAAGTTCTTTCACATGTTTCAGAACGATGTTTAATTTCATATACTGTGGTTACGTCTTCCTTAGCCAAAATGTTGATGATCGCTCCGATATGGGAAATCAGATATGCTTTAATAGGCTCAATTCATTTCCGCTTTCATTGCAGATGAAAGTTTCTTTGCATCATCAATTGGTTCAGAACGATTTTAGTTTCATATACGGTGGTGACGTCTTCCTGTGTCAACATCTTAATCAACTCTCCTGTGATATGGGTTGTGAAATAATGATAAACTTTCAATAGGCTCACATTCATTTCCGTTTTCATTGAGACGTAAAGCTTCTTTGTATCATCAACTGGTTCAGAATGATGTTTAGTTGATAACTGTGTTACGTCTTCCTTGTTAGCCAAAATGTTACAGATTCTCTCTGTGTATGAGTTGTGAAATATAGATAATTCAATAAGCTCACATTCATTTCGCTTTCATTGCAGATGAAAGTTCTTTGCATCCTCAATTGGTTCAGAACGAGTTTAGTTACATATACTGTGGTTACGTCTTCCTTGTTAGCCAAAATGTTACGCAATTCTTCTGTGCTATGGTTGTGAAATCATATGCTTTCAATAGCTCAATTCATTTCCGTTTTCATTGCAGAAGTGAAGTTTTTGCATCATCATATTTATAATGGTTTTAGTTACATATACTGTGGTTACGCTTCCTTGTAGCCAAAATGTTACTCAATTCTCTGTGCTATGGTGTGAAATATCAGATATGCTTTCAATAGGCTCACATTCATTTCCGTTTTCATTGCAGAAGTGAAAGTTTCTTTGCATCAATTGGTTTATAATGGTTTTAGTTACATATACGTGTTCCGTCTTCCTTGTTAGCCAAAATGGTACACGATTCTCTGTAGGAGTTGTAAAATATCAGATATTCTTCTCAGGCTCATCTACTTCGTTTTTCATTGTAGATGTAAAGATTCTTTGCATCATCAACTGGTTCAGAACGATGTTTAGTTTCATATGCTGTGGTTACGTCTTCCTTGTTAGCCAAAATGTTACACGATTCTCTGTGGTATGAGTTGTGAAATCATATAAGCTTCAATAGGCTACATTCATTTCCGCTTTCATTGCAGATGAAAGTCTTTGCATCATCAATTGATTTAGAATGATGTTTAGTTACATACGTGGTTACGTCTTCCTTGTTAGCCAAAATGTTACTCAATTTCTCTGTGCTATGGGTTGTGAAATATCAGATATGCTTTCAATAGGCTCACATTCATTTCGTTTTCATTGCAGAAGTGAAAGTTTCTTTGCATCATCAATTGGTTTATAATGGTTTTAGTTACATATACTGTGTTTCGTCTTCCTTGTTAGCCAAAATGTTACACGATTCTTCTGTGGTATGAGTTTGAAATATCATATGTTTTCAATAGGCTCACATTCATTTCCGCTTTTCATTGCAGATGAAGCTTTTTGCATCATCAATTGGTTTAGAATGATGTTAGTTACATATGCATGGTTACTTCTCCTTGTTAGCCAAAATGTTACTCAATTCCTCTGTGCTATGGGTGAAATATGATATGCTTTCAATAGGCTCATATTCATTTTCGTTTTCTTGCAGATAGGAAGCTTCTTTGCATCATTAATTGGTTCAGAACGATTTAATTTCATATATTGTGGTTATCTTTGTTAGCCAAAATGTTACTCACCTCTATGTGATATGGATTGTGAAATATCAGATAAGCTTTAATAGGCTCATATTCATTTTCGTTTTCATTGCAGATAGAAGGTTCTTTTGCATCATTAATTGGTTCAGAACGATGTTTAATTTCATATACTGTGGTTACGTCTTTGTTAGCCAAAATGTTGAGTGATTCGCTCGATATGGGTGTGAAATCAGACATGCTTTAATAGGCTCAAATTCATTTCCGCTTTCATTGCAGATGTGAGTTCTTTGCATCATCAATTGGTTCAGAACGATTTTTAGTTTCATATCTGTGGTGACGTCTTCCTTGTAAGCCAAAATCTTAATCAATTCTCCTGTGATATGGGTTGTGAAATAGATAAACTTTCAATAGTTGTACATTCATTTCCGTTTTCATTGTAGACGTAAAGCTTCTTTTGTATCATCAACTGGTTCAGAATGATGTTTAGTTTGATATACTGTGGTTATTCCTCCTTGTTAGCCAAAATGTTACATGATTCTCTGTGGTATGAGTTGTGAATATTAGATAAGCTTTCAATAAGCTCACATTCATTTCTGCTTTCATTGCAGAGTGAAAGTTTTTTGCATCATCAATTGGTTCAGAACGATGTTTAGTTACATATACTGTGGTACGTCTTCCATGTTAGCAAATGTTACGCAATTCTCTCTGTTGGGTTGTGAAATATCAGATATGCTTTCAATAGGCTCACATCCATTTCCGTTTTCATTGCAGAAGTGAAAGTTTTTTGCATCATCAATTGGTTTATAATGGTTTTTAGTTACATACTGTGGTTACGCTTCCTTGTTAACAAAATGTTACTCAATTCTCTGTGCTATGGTGTGAAACATCAGATATGCTTTCAATAGGCTCACATTCATTTCCGTTTTTCATTGCAGGGAAAGTCTTTTGCATCATCAATTGGTTTATAGGTTTTAGTTACATATACTGCGTTTCCGTCTCCCTGTTAAAAATGTTACACGATTCTCTGTGGTATGAGTTGAAATCATAGTTTCAATAGGTTCATTCATTTCTGCTTTTCATTGCAGATGTGAAAGTCTTTTGCATCATCAATTTAGAAATAGTTTAGTTACATATACTGTGGTTACGTTCCTTGTTAGCCAAAATGTTACTCAATCTCTGTGCTATGGGTTGTGAAATATCAGATATGCTTTCAATAGGCCATATTCATTTTCGTTTTCATTGCAGATAGGAAGGCTTGTTTTGCATTATTAATTGGTCAGAACGATGTTTATTCATATATTGTGGTTACTTCTTCTTGTTAGCCAAATGTTACTCTCTCTATGTGATATGGATTGTGAAATATCAGATAAGCTTTAATAGGCTCATATTCATTTTCGTTTTCATTGCAGATAGGAAGGCTTCTTTTGCATCATTAATTGGTTCAGAACGATGTTTAATTTCATACTGTGGTTACGTCTTCCTTGTTAGCCAAAATGTTACACGATTCTCTGTGAGTGTGAAATCAGATATTCTTCAATAGGCTCACATTCATTTCCGTTTTCATTGTAGATGTAAAATTCTTTTGTCATCAACTGGTTCAGAACGATGTTTAGTTTCATATGCTGTGGTTAGTCTTCCTTGTTAGCCAAAATGTTACACGATTCTCTGTGGTATGAGTTGTGAAATCATATAAGCTTTCAATAGGCTCACATTCATTTCCGCTTTTCATTGCAGATGTGAAAGCTTTGCATCATCAATTGGTTTAGAATGATTTTAGTTACATATACTGTGGCTCTTCTTGTTAGCCAAAATGTTACCAATTCTCTATGTGTATGGGTTGTGAAATATCAGATATGCTTTCATTAGGTCTACACTATTTCCGTTTTTTGCAGATGTGAAGCTTCTTTGCATCAAATTGGTCTAGAATGATTTTAGTTTCATATATTGTGTTACTTCTTCTTTGTTAGCCAAAATGTTACCCATCTCTATGTGATATGGGTGTGAAATATCAGATAGCTTTTAATAGGCTCATATTCATTTTCGTTTTCATTGCAGATAGGAAGGCTTGTTTTGCATTATTAATTGGTTCAGAACGATGTTTAATTTCATATACTGTGGTTACGTCTTCCTTGTTAGCCAAAATGTTACTCAATTCTCTATGTGATATGGGTTGTGAAATATCAGATATGCTTTCAATAGCTCACATTCATTTCCGTTTTTATTGCAGATGAAAGCTTTTGCATCATTAATTGTTTCAGAACGATGTTTAATTTCATATACGTGGTTACGTCTCCTTGTTGAGAAATGTTGAGTGATCTGCTCTGTGATATGGTGTGAAATCAGATGTGCTTTTAATAGGTCTCACATTTCCGCTTTTCATTGCAGATGTGAAAGCTCTTTTGCATCATCAATTGGTTCAGAACAATTTTAGTTTCATATATGGGACGTCTTCCTTGTAGCCAAAATCTTAATCAATTCTCCTGTGATATGGGTTGTGAAATCAGATATGCTTTCTAGGCCATTATATTCCGTTTTCATTGCAGAAGTGAAAGCTTTTGCATCATCAATTGGTTTATAATGGTTTTTAGTTACATATACTGTGGTTGTCTTCCTTGTTAGCCAAAATGTTACCTTCACTCTCTGTGCTATGGGTTGTGAAATCAGATATGCTTCAATAGCTCACATTCATTTCCGTTTTCATTGCAGAAGTGAAAGTTTCTTTGCATCATCAATTGGTTTATAATGGTTTTAGTTACAATACTGCGTTTCCGTCTTCCTGTAGCAAAACTTAATCAATTCTCCTGTGATATGGGTTGTGAAATATCAGATATGCTTTCAAGGCCACATTCATTTCCGTTTTCATTGAGATGTAAAGATTCTTTTGCATCATCAACTGGTTTAGAACGATTTAGTTCATATGCTGTGTTACGTCTTCCTTGTTAGCCAAAATGTTACACGATTCTCTGTGGTATGAGTTGTGAAATCATATAAGCTTTCAATAGGCTCACATTCATTTCCGCTTTTCATTGCAGATGTGAAAGTTCTTTTGCATCATCAATTGGTTTAGAATGATGTTTAGTTACATATACTGTGGTTACGTCTTCCTTGTTAGCCAAAATGTTACTCAATTCTCTATGTGATATGGGTTGTGAAATATCAGATATGCTTTCAATAGGCTCACATTCATTTCCGTTTTTCATTGCAGAAGTGAAAGTTTCTTTTGCATCATCAATTGGTTTATAATGGTTTTTAGTTACATATACTGTGGTTACGTCTTCCTTGTTAGCCAAAATGTTACATCTCTCTATGTGATAGGGTTGTGAAATCAGATAAGCTTTAATAGGCTCATATTCATTTTCGTTTTCATTGCAGATAGAAGGCTTTGCATCATTAATTGGTTCAGAACGATGTTTAGTTTCATATGCTGTGGTTACGTCTTCCTTGTTAGCCAAAATGTTACACGATTTTCTCTGTGGTATGAGTTGTGAAATATCAGATAAGCTTTCAGTAGGCTCACATTCATTTCCGCTTTTCATTGCAGATGTTAAAGCTTCTTTTGCATCATCAATTGGTTTAGAATGATGTTTATTTACATATACTGTGGTTACGTCTTCCTTGTTAGCCAAAATGTTACTCAATTCTCTCTGTGCTATGGGTTGTGAAATATCAGATAAACTTTCAATAGTTTTACATTCATTTCCGTAGTTCATTGCAGATGTGAAAGCTTCTTTTGCATCACCAATTGGCTCAGAATGATTTTTAATTTCATATATTGTGGTTACTTCTTCTTTGTTAGCCAAAATGTTACTCAATTCTTTCTGTGATATGGATTGTGAAATATCATATATGCTTTCAATAGGATCACATTCATTTCCGTTGTTCATTGCAAAAGTGAAATTTTCTTTTGCATCATCAATTGTTTCAGAATGATTTTTAGTTTCATATACTGTACTTATGTCTTCCTTGTTAGCCAGAATGTTACAGAACTCTCTCTGTGATATGGGTTGTGAAATATCATATATTGTATCATTTCCGTGTGTCGTTGCAGATGTAAAAGCTTCTTTTGCACCATCATATGGTTCAGAACGATGTTTGGTTTTATATACTGTGGTTACGTCTTCCTTGTTAGCAAAAATGTTACGCGATTCTTTCTGTGATATGGGGTGTGAAATATCAGATATGCTTTCAATCGGCTTACATTTATTTCCGTTTTTCATTGCAGATTTTAGCATTCCTTTTGCATTATTAATTGGTTCAGAATGATTTTTAGTTTCATATGGTGTGGTTAAGTCTTGCTTATTAGCCAACATGTTAGGCGATTCTCTCTGTGGTATGGTTTGTGAAATATTAAATATCCTTTTAATTGGCTCACATGCATTTACGTTTTCGGTTGCATCTGTGAAAAGTTGTTTTACATCAACGACTAGTTCAAAAACTTTTATATTCTTATAATTTTCGTCTATGGCTTTGTTTTGTGCCAAATTCTTAGGCGTTTCGTTTTGGACCTCAGATGTTTCAGCATTTTTTACATAATAGATTTGCTCAGAAGAGTGTTTATTGTAATGAACTGGGGTAACGTCTTCTTTGTGAACCAAATTGTTATGCGCTTCTCCATGAGTTAAAAATTTTGAAATATCAGAAATGTTATCAATCAACGCATCTTCTTTATCGTTTTTGATTTGGGATACGAAAGTTTTTTTTACATCATCAATTAGTTCAAAATGATTTTTATTTTCATAAACTGTGGTTACATCCTCCTTGTGAACTAAACTTTTACGGAATTTTCCATGTGATATGGGTTGTGAAATAGCAGAGATACTATCAATAGGCTTAGATTCACTTCTGTGTTTGATTGCAGATGTGAAGTTTTCTTTTATATCATAAAGTGGATCAGAATACTTTTTATTCTCTTGAACTGAGCTTTCGTTTTCTTTGTCAACGAAAGAGTTACGCGATTCTTTCTTTGATATGGGTTGTGAAATATCAGATATGCTATCAATAGGCTCCCTTTTATTTATGAAAGCTTTTGTTACATCATCAGTTGATTCAGAAATATCTGACTTCTTAAGTACTGGTGTTACGTCTTCCGTGTAAACCAAATTGAAGCCCGATTCTCCTTTTCTTAAGGGTTTTAAAATATCAGTTATACCTTTAAGAACTTCACCTTCATTTTTCTTTTTAGTGGCAGATGTGACCGTTTCTTTTATATCATTAGTTGGTTCAGAATGATTTTGATT